AGCTGAGCCGAGCCGAGCCTCCGCTCCTCGCAGGCCCCAGGACGAACGGCGACGCCGCCGCCAGGCCGGAGGAGCACCGCAAGGCGAAGCTGCCGGCACGGGCCCGGCGGGACAAACCGCAGCAGCACAGCTTCGCCCACCGGCTGCTGGTCGCCGCCCTCAAGGTACCGTGTGTGCCCCGGTGCCGGTAATCCCGCCGGGCTCGGCGCCTCCTGCCCCGCCAGGGCCCCCCCCCGCCTTCTCCTATTCCGCCTCCTCCTCCCCGCTGTGACCGCGCTCTCTCCACAGGGCCACAGCGGCTCCGTCTCCTGCCTGGACTTCAGCAGCAACGGCAAGTACCTGGCGTCGTGCGCTGACGACCGCACGATCCGACTGTGGAGCACCCGGGACTTGACGGCGCGCGAGCACCGCTGCCTGCGCGCCAACGTGGGGCTGGACCACGCCGAGCTTGTCCGCCTCAGCCCTGACTCACGGTAGGGCCAGGCCTCACCACACCTCACCCACTCCCAGCCCAGGGACCGGTTGGGGCGTATAGGCACCAGGACGTCCTGTGGACAGAGCTGCCGGTCACACAGCGCAAGCCTCGGCCGGGGTCAGTGATGTGTCCTCTGGGCTGCACGGAGGCGACATCCCTCATGCGGTCTTAATGGTACCACTGATTCATGGCCTCTCGTGAAAACAGCTGGCATTTTAACGTGGTTCTCAGGGCAAATATCCCAGTGCCTAGCTTGCTGTGCCTGTGGAGGGTGCTTGTTAAGGTCTTTGTCAGCAGGCCCTGCAGCAGGGTTGAGTTGCTGAGCCACTCTGGGGACTGGGGAGAGAGCTCTTGCTGGCGGGGAATGTTGGCGGAAAAGCATGCCTTGGCACTTTGTGAAGTGGCCTCTTTTAAGAGAGAGGAAGGGATCTCGTTTACAGATATGGAGTAATAAATTCTGTTCTTTTCCATTCAGCATTGCAGTTGAGCTAACACAGGGAGAGAACCTAGTGCCGTTGTAAAGCATACAGCTGTTGATCTGCCAGTGTATCCATTTCCCCAGGTGCCACTGAATGACCTATTAGTTTACCTGTTGTCGCTAGGCTGAGCTGAGGTAGACTGTTTCTTAACAGTTCAGAGCGCCTGTCCTTCCACAGGGCATTCATCGTTTGGCTGGCGAATGGCGAGACTATTCGTGTCTATAAAATGACCAAGAAGGATGATGGCAGCTTCACCTTCACTGCAACTTCAGGGGACTTCCCAAAGAAGCACAAGGCTCCTGTCATTAACATAGGAATTGCAGAGACAGGTATGGAAATGAGCTGCTCACTTGTTGAAGCTCGAGATCGGCTTTGATTTTCTTGAAAAGCGAGAGCTGCTGGGTTGAAAGTGTTGGAGTTTTGGGCATTCTCAAGGCCCATTTCTGCACCAGTACCTGATTCTCTGTAGTCTCTTAGGTGTCACTTTTTAGCCTTTGTTTACTGCTGAGTGAACTGAAAGATGTCATTTTCAGACAGATTATATTCTTGTAAGCTCAGAACTAGCTCCCCAATATGCACAGTCTCTCAATTTACATTTTCAGGGACGCTGTTGCAAAGAGGTCTGGTCTCAATATTGAGAGGATCGCTGTTCTCTGGCCCACTCGTCTCTCTTTAACCAGTCAAAAATCTCTCTAGTGAGTTAATGTGGTCTATCTTGGACTTCTGGGGTCTTCTACAACAGAGGCTGGGGGGGATGTGTTAGTGGTGAGGGCTTGATGGATTAAGGCTTCAGGTATGTGACAGTGGGCAGTTGGAAGTGGGTGGATGTGAGTTCACCTCTGCAACAGGAGAGCAGAGAAAATGTTAACCGAGACCTTTGTTCAGCTGTGACAGTGAAAACTGAAACCTGTAACAAGTAGCTGAAAGGTAAACAGGCAACTCCCTGTCCGGGCTGACATGGAAAAGGGGAAAGCATTGCAAGTGGAAACAAGCAGGAGTCCAAAATGCTGACACAACCAGTAATCATGGTTAATAGCAGTGTGACTTGTAGTCAGCTACCGGTCACCATCTGAGACTTGAAAGCTACAGATACCTCGAGTTGTGTTTTAATCATCTGGGGAAGACCGAGTCTGCTGCGTTACTCCTGTGGTACCAGCTTAGTGCTGAGCTCTGCAAGTGGGGTCTGAAGGGTGCTGGGGTGAGAAGCATGCCTGGTCTCTGAGTGCCCACTGATGGCTGCTGAAGCCAAGGGTGCATTAAGGCATAACCAGGAGCCAAGTCTTCTGATACTGCTCTTTGCTTTGTCCCAGGAGATTGACACTCCTTGAATTTTGGTGCTGCATTTGGTTTTCTTCACTGTCTGGGTTCAGGGAGAGGTTGCCCTGCTTAGGGACTGTCCTAGGCCTTTGATAAGTCTGTGGCAGCGTTAGGCCTGGGACGTCTTCTGATCTTTGTCTTTTTCCTCCAGGAAAGTTTATCATGACAGCTTCCAGTGACACTACCATACTGATATGGAGCCCGAAGGGTGAAGTCCTGGCCAGCATTAACACTAACCAGATGAACAATGCCTATGCCACGGTGTCGCCCTGTGGGAGGTGAGAGGCATGAGGTATTCCACGCTGCTCCTGCTGCAGAGTGGGAAGCCACAGGAGCCAACAGGAACCTTGCTCCTTCCCAGAGGACGTCATCAGTTCCGACCATCAGCAGTTAACTGTTATTTTAATGCAATTTTTGAGGGTTCCACATTTTAAAAAGGGATTCCGGCCCCCGAGAGCAGCCCCTCCAGGAGCACTGACTCTCACCTGTGTAGTCTCAGACACTTGGTGGGTTGCCGTTTTGCCTCAGCACTGCTGTTCCTATTAATCATCTCCTGAAGAGCTGAGGAGAACAGCGTTGGCCTCACATAGCAGAGGTGGGACAACACAAGTGGCGTATGAAAAGCAAGCAGCATTTCTAACTTGTTTGTTACCTTTTAAAGGTTAATTATAAAATTAAAATATTTGTTACTGGGTTTATCAGGAAAATCTTGTTCCTCACTCTGTCTCTAACTTGTGGCTGCAGGAAGACTTGCCATGCTCCAAGCTCAGTGCGTTTGGGGATCAAAAGCATTTAGGTTTTTTGCTTTGGCCTATGAGTTTCTCATTCCTAAGTTGTTCTGGTCCTTGGTGGCCTTCCTTAGCGTTCCCTTTACCAGCCTGGCTTCAGTGAAAGGTGGAAACTTCTTCAGCTGACCCAAGCAAAGATTCGAACATAAGAGTGTGGATGGCTTTGCCTTCACAGAGCCCTGTCTTAGGCGCCCCTCTGCCTGGGAGGGCTGCCCCTGGCCCCTGCCTTGCTCAGGGGGCCAGAGGAGAGCTCTGTAGGGCTGGCCCTGCGGCCCGGCCGGAGTAGGTGCTCTGTAACAGGTGCCCTATGTCTCTGCTTGTTTGTTCACCCAGGTTTGTGGCATCCTGTGGCTTTACCCCTGATGTGAAGGTGTGGGAGGTGTGTTTTAGCAAGAATGGAGACTTCCGGGAGGTGGCCAGGGCTTTTGAGTTGAAAGGCCACACCGCTGGCATACATTCCTTCTCCTTCTCTAATGACTCAAGGAGGTAAGTGTGTGTTACCCGCTGCCTGAAGCAGTACACCCTGGCTTGCCCTCAGGCCACGTGAGCTCACTCCTTCCAGTGTATGCCAGCAGCCTGCGCAGGGGGGCTGCACCCCTGTGCAGTGTGGGGAACACTGCCATGCGTGCTCTCCTGGGAGCCCAGGGCAGCAAAACCCCGACTGGCTTGTGCCACCTGCGTATTCCCTCTGGATTTCCTCCTGGGGGTGACTGCCATCCGTGCTCTGCAAAGAGGACGAGGACTGTATGTGTGTACAGATTCGTACTTCCCAAAAGAGCTCTCTGTCCACAAAGGATTCCTCATTCGCAGGTGTGGCAGGGGAAGAGGTGCTGCCCGATTTCCTTGCACTCACCTGTGCTCTGTCTCCTGGCTGCAGGATGGCGACTGTTTCGAAGGATGGGACATGGAAGTTCTGGGACACAGATGTGGAATATAAGAAGCAACAGGATCCATACCTGCTTCTGACGGGGAAGTGTGAGGTGATGGAGCCTTGTCGAATCGCCCTGTCCCCTGATGCTCGCGTCGTCGCCATCTCTAGCGGCACAGACATTGTTGTGTACAACACGAGAAGAGGAGAGGAGGAGGAGCGCTTTCTCGCCGTGCACGGACAGTGCATAACAGACTTGGCTTTTGACACTAACAGCCGCTACCTGGTGTCGTGTGGGGACCGGGCCATCCGCGTCTTCCACAACACTGCTGGTCATCGGGCAGTGGTGGAGGAGATGGAGACCATGCTGAAAAAAACTGGGAACAAAGCCACCCGAGAGAGGCTGGAGCAGCAGATCTCCAGTGCCCGCAAAGCGCTGGCCGCAATCTATGGCAAGAAGCACTAATCCTTCCCCCACTGTGGCACGTCCCGGCTCTCCACGGTCGCAGACAGCTGTGTTCTGCCTTTAGGGATTATTTTTTTTAATAACACTGAACAACTTGTAATAAAAGAGCATGCAGACTGCGTGCCCAGGGCCTTCCTTGCGTGCTTTCTGACTGGCGACAGAGAGCTGGGCGCTGCGTCTGCTTGGGGATGGTGGGGGGCAATGGAGGGGTGACGCTGTTGTGCCTTTCTCTTCCAAGGGCTTGTCCCCACCTGCTGTCTCATCGCTATCCCGTGGGAGTGATTGCTCAGATGGGACCAGTGTGCTTTTCTGGACTTAGAAAAGGGGGTTTTGGTGTGTGGTTTGGGTTTTTTTGCAGAGGAGCTGCCCCAGCTCAATCTGCGATGCTAAACGGTGGGCCTTCTGGTGCGCAGAAGCAGGCAGCGCTTTAATGCTGCTGCCTGCAGGGCTCCTTCCATGCGGGTCGGGCAGTTCAGGTCATGTACGACCGCCATGAGCACGATGCGGACTAGAGGCCCCCGGGTCGTGCTGAGCGCCGGGCGGGACTTGACCCAACATAAGATGGCGGTGCCGGCGCCGCACCACGCAGGAGGGCGGGGCGAGCGGCGCAGGCGCAGTACGCGCCGTCGCTCTCCGTCACCCCCCCTCCCCCCGCGTCCTTCCTCCGGGCGTGGCGAGCGCGGTGACGCAGGACGCGCAGGGCGGGGGCGGGGCGCGCGCATGCGCGGAGAGAGGCGGCGGGTGCTGCGGAGCCGGGGCTGCCGGGGCTGCGGGCGCCATGTCGGGCCGCTCGGTGCGCGCCGAGACCCGCAGCCGCGCCAAGGATGACATCAAAAAAGTGATGGCGGCCATCGAGCGCGTCCGCAGATGGTGAGAGGCGGGGCTGCGGGGGGGTGGGGCCTGCCCGGCGTGCAGCCAATCACCGCACCACACGGGTGCCGGTGGAGGTGCTCTGGTAGCGAGTATCCAATCAGCGTGCTGTGTCGGGTAGTGGGCAGGGATAGCGAGGCAGCAGCCAATTAGCTCGCTCCGTCTGCTCGGGGGTGCGGAGGGGACCGGAAGCGCCGGTGATCGGCGGGCGGCCCGACCAATCACGACGAGGATGGCGGGGTGAAGGGGCGGGCTGCAGCGGTGCTTTCGATTGGCGTTACCCCGGGCCAATCGGAGCCTTGCGGGAGGGGCTTGTTGCCAGGGTAGCCCCGGGCCCGGCTTCTCCCGGCCTCGGCTCCTGGGGGGGGGGAGGGGCTCGGCGCCGTTAACGGCTGTGTCCGCGCAGGGAGAAGAAGTGGGTGACGGTAGGCGACACTTCCCTGCGGATATTCAAGTGGGTGCCGGTGGCGGACAGCAAGGAGGTGGGTACCGCGCGGGGCCGGGCCCTTCTCCTCAGGGCCGCCCCGGGCCCGGCCCGCTCCGCGGCGGGGGGCCGGAGCCGAGCCGGGCCCTGCCGCCCCCAGCCCCGGCTGAGCAGCTCGCCTCAGTGGCTCTGCAGGGGAGAGCCCTGGGGCTCCCTGCTGCTTCTTCCCCTGGCCTCTGCAGCGGCATCGGGCCTCTGCCCGGGGGTCATGCCTCAGTGCAGCCTGGACTGTAACGTCTCCCACGGACCTCCATCTGCTGTTGCCCTGCAGCAATGCGGCCGTGCTGGTGGATCCGTACCGTTTTTCTCCCTTGCACCTGACCTCACACGCTCTTGGATGATCCCCTCTCGCTGCCTGTGATCCTTTTTGCCTTAATCCCTGGAGGACTTGTTTTTATTTGGTGGTACTCCTAGACAGGGGTCAATTTCCCCTTTTACTCCTGATTCTGAGGCCTTCACAGCTGAAGTTTTGCCTCTCAGTTAGAAAAGTGCCCAAAAAGGAAAGGGAAAAGGCCTGCATGAGCACACCCCTCTGGGCTGCTGGGAGAGAGAAAGGGGAGTGGCTTCTCTGGAGCAGTTTGTGCACCTCTGCATTCTCTTGCCAGTGGTGGGCTCCTCTGACCGTGTATTTCTGCTTTTCCTTTTCTCCTCAAGAAAGAGAAATCCAAATCAAGTAGCAGCACTGCCCGAGAACCCAATGGCTTCCCAGCCGACACCTCTGCCAACTCCTCTCTTCTCCTGGAGTTCCAAGGTGAGTCTGGCTGAGCCCCCTTCAAGCTGGGGAAAGACCTCAAGGCCTTATAGAAGCTGAGATGTTGCTGGCTTATGTATGCTGCGTATATTGGGAAGAGCAGTGTGCGTCTTCAGTGCAGGGTTGTGCTGATCCAATTCTGGACTGTCCCTGCTGAAACTGTTCATTTTTTCTGTCAGAAAGAATTTTAATTGTCTGTTTCTGGGATCCTCTTGTAGGAAGCTTCGTGGGGAACTGGAGGAGTGGGGGTTCCATTCCCACTTTGTGGTCCCTGCTGGGGAGAGGCCAGTAGCTGCCTGCAGCTGAGCCTGCTGCTTCCAGCAGTGATTTGTATGGACCTTAGGATGAAAGGGCAGAGGATCTCCTTGACCTTGCTCTTGGTACCGGAGCACCGCAGCCAGCCACAGACAGGCCGGGCTCTGTGGTGGAGTCAAGCAAGGCTCAGGCAGCGCATGGGCTCACTGCTGGAGCAGAGTGTATGCCTGTCCCCAGCCTCTCCACTCAGCTCTTGGTGCAGCGAAGGGAAATTGGGGACTGTGTTGGCACTTCCAGTAGATGCGGTGAGAAGGTTAGCGTTGCAGGTCTGCAGTTTGGGACCACTTTACCTGGAAAAGATGTGTGCCGGGATTGCCTCCCTGTCCAGAGGCAGGTGCTGAGCGTTGGTGCTGCTGTCAGATTGCAGCCCCACAAACGGAAGAGGTACAAAAGCCTGGTACACAGGCAAGAGGTCTCCTGCCCTTGAATGCCTGGGGCCCTTGCAAGCTGCAGACGTACAATTTGTCGGCACAGCGCTTTGTATTACCTCTGTGCCTTCTGCTCATTCTTTCTGAATAGCCCAGGGTCACTCTCTGTCTGCTCAGACTCATTTCCTGGGCAGAAGCACCCCCTCTCCTGTGGCATGTATCTGATGCCAGCTGTGTCCCGGCGGGGAGTCCTATGCCTGGCAGCACTTAAGTTGATCAGTGACAGTGAATCCCCTGTACTTGGACTGCCTCTTACTGTGCTCTTCCTTCTCCCTAAGACCCTGGCTCTCAGTGCTGCCCTCGGCTGCCTGTGCCCCTGGGTCAAGGTGCTCTTCTTCACTAGGTGCTGTTTCTGCAGATGAGAACAGCAACCAGAGCTCCCTGTCGGATGTCTACCAGCTCAAGGTGGACAGCAGCCCCAACTCCAGCCCCAGTCCCCAGCAGAGCGAGTCCATGAGTCCTGCCCACACGTCTGACTTCCGCACGGACGACTCGCAGCCACCCACCCTGGGGCAGGAGACGCTGGAAGGTGGGTGCTGGGGTGCTGGGCTGGGAAGGGAGGAGGTGGATGGCTGGGCCTGGGGAAGGCCCTGCCAGAGCTGTTGCTTGTTCGGTGGGTGACTGAGGTACTGCTGGAAGTGGACAGGGCAGTGGAGACTTGTCTTCTGCTGGAGGTCTCTTCTCCTGGCTCAGCACTGAGCTGGGTACCCCGGTGCTCCTGGGTGGGCAGTTTTGTTAACCCTTCTGTTCTCCCCAGAGCCCTCCCTGCCTTCCTCAGAAGTTGCAGACGAGCCTCCCACTCTCACAAAGGAAGAGCCAGTGCCCCTTGAGACTCAGGTAAGGGAAGGGGCATTGAAACCATGACTAAACACGCATGGAGCCAGCTTGGCCCTTTCACCCTCGTTGCTGCCCCTTGTAGCAGAAACATCTGGAGAGATGGACTTGCTCTGCAGTCCCAAAGTGCCCTCCAGGAGCTCCCCAAACCTTCTGGCTTCCTGAGCTGTCCCCTGGTTCAGTTCAGGTGTTAAAAGTGTGAAGAAAGGAGGTGGAGGTGGAGTAAAGCAGCAGTTCTAGTCAACTCCAGGGCTGAAGTGGATTCTCACTCCTGGTGCCCTGGGGCTTCCTCACAGATGAAAGCCTGGGGTGTCCCCACAGTGTGACAGCCTTGTCTAGGTCCACGTGGCTTGGTGGGCACACTGAGCTCCCGTCACTGCCCATGACCTCTACCTCTGGCTCTTGCAGGTAACTGAAGAGGAGGAGGACTCTGGTGCGCCGCCTCTGAAGAGATTTTGTGCCGATCAGAACTCTGTGTGCCACACGGCCTCGGAGAGCTAGCCTGCCCACCCCTGGGGAGAGCGCCTTCGCCAGCCCCTCGCAGAGCTGCCTGCCCTCCCCTGGGGGACGGGGAGCTTCCCTCCAGCCCGCCCCTTCCCCAGGGACGGGTGCTCCCACCACTCGCCATCCAGCTGCCCTGCCCTGCCCTGCTCTCCAGGGCAGGAGCCTCCCGCCAGCCCCGGCCGAGACAGCCTGCGCTCCCCCGGGGCGGATGGGGCTGCCACCAGAACCTGCAAATTTTGCCTCTATTTATTGGCTCCCTCTCTCCCTGCTGACCTGTTCTGTAGCATGAGGGTCTCCGGTGGGCGGGCGGGCCGTCTGCCTGCGCGGGGGGAGTTGTCTGCAGGACTCCCTGCTCTCCCTGGCGCCCGGGGCACTGGCAGGAGCCGTTTGCCTGCTTCGGGCCCGCCTGCCCACCCTCCCGGGAGAGCCGCCTTCCACCTGCGAAGTGATCTGTCCGCTCCCTCCCTTGAGAGCGCCGGCAGGAGGTGGGAGGCGGGGAGAGGCCGAGTCCTGCCCAGCCGCGGCAGGGATCCGCTGGGACGCTGTGCAATAAGCTGCTAGTTCAAGCCATTGGTGTTGGGAGAGCCGGGAGCGCCCCCCCCAAAGGAGGGCAGGTGCCGCCGG